TCTTCTTCTTCTTCTTCTTCTTCTTCTTCTTCTTCTTCTTCTTCTTCCTCTTCATCTTGAGACAAGATTTTTTTTTCTCTGTGTAGTTATGGCTATTCTGGAACTTGCTCTGTAGACCAGGCTGGCCTCAAACTCAAAGAGATCCATTTGCCTCTGCTTCCCAGCTTAAAGGCATGAGCTGCCTTGGCCCACTATGATATTTATCTTTTTTTGTAATTTAATTTTTCTTTTAAGTTCTTCCTTCTCACAATACATCCTGAAAACAGTTTTTTATCCCTCTATTCCTCCCAGGACCCTGCCCCTGCCATTCCCTTCTTCCCCAGTTCCTCTCCTCCTCTGTTTTCCATCAGAAAGTAACAGGCTTCCCAGGAATATCAACCTACATGTCATAACAAGTTAACACACTCTGCGTCGTAGGCTGCTTAGCCTGTAGGCTTCAGGAATCTTACTCTTTCTGCCTCCCTAGTTCTAGAAACACATCTGTATTTTAATTTTAATCTTGGACATGGGAAATCAAATTTAAGTCCTTATACTTGCAATAAAAAACATATCATGTCCTAGGCCATCACCCATACCAATTTTCTACTGTTGATATTATTATTATTATTATTATTATTATTATTATTATTATTATTATTATTATTGTCAGAAACAGGGTCTCACGTGTGCTGCAGAATGCACAGTCTCATCTGTGTTGCTAATTTCACTTAATCTAAGAGGTTAGGTGACAAACCCATCTGAAAATAAATCTAAAATGAGGAGGATGGATGATTTCTTTACTTCCCTTATCACATTATTACTGATTTTGGCCATAGAAGCACAGAATCAGTTATCCAAGGCTCCACGCATTATTATCTACACAGGTCCATTAGAGGGAAAAGGCCTCTTCCTGCCACACCAACTGAGAAATGAGATGGATTGAGCTCCTGGTGAATGTGCTTTGTGCTGCTGTGTCCCAGGTGTAGTAGACATGGATCATTGCTCAACAGAAATATCTCATGCTGCTTTAGAATTGTTTTTGACAAATAAGTAAAGAGGACACTTACAGATATTGCATGGAGACTAACACTGGCTGACCTAAATAGTAAGATGACTACTTAAAAGCTCCAGACTATCCGGTATGTGCCCATCCCATACGTTCTGTTCAGCAACTGGAAGGCTACACACAAACTCAGAACGGCCTACGTTCAAACAGTGTTAGGGCACATTGCCTTATGACTATGCAAGTTCAAACACAGAGAGGCTCCTATCTGCACACAAGGTAGGCTGCATTTCAATGACTATCAAGCATGGTTCAGATCTCTGTCATATCCAGTGAGCCACTGTTGTACAGAAACTGAAGCTCTGTGAGGATCGATTTCCCAAGACTGTTGTGATCTGTGGAGACCATGCTCTAATACACATTGCCTGGGTTCAAAGATCAGCCAGCAATAACTATCAGAAACCAAACATTTATGGGAAATATTTTTCTAAGACTGTTGTGATCAAAGGAGAACATGGTCTAACCCACAGTGCCTGTATGTGGAGACAGAAACAAGAGTGTCCTTCAGATTCTCTTTCTAAGGTATTGAGGGACCACCTGGGAATGAGAAAAACAACTGTGATTATGTGAATGGAAGCCAGGTGCAGAGAGCTCTTGAAGGGCAGGGTGAACTGTTCTGAGAAACAACCAGCTGTAAACTATCCACAACCAGCTGTAAACTATAGAGCAAAAGTGGTCTGATTTTCAGGCACAAAAACCCTGTGCTTTGCATGTTTGTGGTCATCTCCTGCTTTTGGAAGGGTGATCCTATCGCGATTGGAATAAAACCTCTTGCTTTTGCATCGAGTTGTGGTCTGTGAGTGTTCCTGGGAAGGGCGTGAT